CGGCTCCGAGGTGGAAAGAGGGGCAGTCTTAGAGTCTTGAAGAACAGATCTGGACACCCTCTTACCAAAGATGATGACATTCTTCGGCGATTGAAGGAAAACTTTGACGAACTCCTTAATCCCGCGCAACAGCAGGAAGACTCGCCTGTAGAGCAGAGGGGTACGGATATTACTATCTCTGTAGATGAAATTGCAAAAGCTGTGAAAAGCTTAAAAAATGGAAAAGCTGTCGGAATTGACGAAATCTGCCCTGAGACGCTCAAGGCATTAGGCGAACAAGGCATGTGCTGGCTAACACGTATCTATCAAACTGCGATGACTGGGGAAAGACACCAGCGGACTGGAGAACGGGAGTTATTGTACCCGTATTGAAGAAGGGAGACCACAAGGAATGCTCCAATCATAGGGGCATAACGTTATTTAGCCTCCCAGGGAAAGTTAACACAAAGACGCTACAAATAGGTGCCGCCAAATAACTGACCTCAAGATACATGAAGGGCAGTGTGGCGTCCGGACCGATCGAAGCACCTCTGATCATATATTTGCGATACCAGATTATTGAGAAATCGTGGGATAACGCCCGTCCGGTGTACATGCGTTTTGTTGACACAGAAGAAGCCTATGAACCGATTCAACGCAACAATGTACGCGGATGGCTTCGAGCCTACGTGAAAAGTGGCCAGCCGGAAAGAGCCATCCAACCACTATATTTAGGTGGCAGGTGATGCGTCAGAGCAAATGGCGTTAAGTCGAAACCATCCAACGTTCGCACTGGTCTCCGCCAAGGCTGCGCCCTGCACCCTTTCCTGTTTGTGTTGTACATGGATAGAATAGTCTGGAGCAACCAAGGCGATGAGTATATCGGTATAAGAGATATCGAGACGAGAGGGTTACTGTTTGCAGACGACCTTGCTTTATTAACATCTTCGGAAGCTTATCTTCAGTGCTCCTTAGAAAGGTTCGTAGCCGAGTGCGACGCAACCGGCATGCGTGTGAACGCATCTAAAACGAAAAGCCTCGAGCTTTCACGTTCTTCTCTCCGTTGTTCGCGTCAGATTAACGGAGAGGCAGTGGAGCAGGTGAAGAAGTTCAAGTACTTCGGAATTGTATTTACTAGTGATGGAAAACTGGAGGAAGGGATCGACCAGCGAACTGGAGTAGCCAGTTGGGTTCTGTGTGAGCTAGCCCGATCCATTGTGACTAAAAGAGAGCTCAGTCTGAAGACTAAGCTCTCGGTGTTCAAGTCGATCCTTATCCTTAGGCTTACCTACGGTCATCAATCGAGGATTAATACTGAAAAACTTCGAAGCCGGGTACAAGCTGCTGAAATGGAGATTCTTAGACGTGTCGTTAGCCGCGTCTCGACATGGTCCGGAATAATGACATCCGGAAGAGTCTTGGTATACAGGCTTTGCTTCTCCAGACTGAGAATTCACAGCTGCGACGGTTTGGGCATGTGTTGAGAATGCGTCCAGAAAGGAAGGCTAAGGAACGTTTCTTTGCGAATCCGACCGGCAGAAGGCCCAGGGCACGGCCAAGATTAACCTGCATATATACTGAAGGAGCCTGTTCCAGACTTCAGCTGTCTTTTGCCGAAATTCAGATTGTGGCACAGGATCGGGAACGTTGGAAGCTCTGTCTGACGAGTATGCTTCCGCGACCCGAAAGGAGAAGCGGCGATGGAAGATTAATGAATGAATGTACAATATAGAAGTTACGAAGTACAGTCCGCATTTTAAGGAAAAGACAATTTCATTCTAGCTCTTAATAATTCCAACGAAAGAAATGAAAATACTTCGTTATCTCAAGGAAGACAAAGAATTCACGTGACTTGCAACTGGCTTAAAAATTTGAACTCCGTGGTGGCGAACAAGATGTCTTTCTAATACTCGTCCATGAATAAGTACTGAACAAGAAATCATACAAAGCGAATATCCTGCACAAGCGGCCAGAAAGAAAGTGCAGAATGTATCAAGTGAGGGGTAAAACCGTAACAGATGCAGTGTGAAGCATTTTCAAAGCGATTCGAGTTATCGGTGACAAAGAAATGGTAAAAACATCAGGGGAAAGCGGTGGAAGAGATTGAACAAGCGAAAATACTTTGAAAGAAATTTCGACATATCGCTTGGCGATGATGAGATGATGTTGGTAGACAACACGAAAGGGGGCACAAATTTTCAATACAGCATGCTCAGCCGACGTTGTTGTTAGAGAGAAAAGATACCGCAAGATCAAAAACTGAGATGGAAATAGAAAAGATTCTGAAGAGTAAGTCATACCGGTGGTGAATGATGCCTTTGGAGCAGTGAGAAGAGACTTTCAGTGCTTAATAAAGTCAATGGAAATATTATCAAGTCGAATGAACCACAGAAGACTACCCTGTCGAAAAGTATCAGAGTTTAAAGAAGGGTATTATAGCTAACAATCCTTTGGTAAAGGATTCGAACTGAACTAATGTTAATAAAACATTATATTTTCATGGCTCGTGGCAAAAATAAAAAACACGAACAATACATGTGCAATTCTCTACGACAGTCAGTACTAATGTGAAACAACTATATAGCCACGTTTAAAGTCCTATATTTGCGGATTAAAAAATGTTGGAGTTTTGTTGTTCGACCTAAAACCATGCCATTCTTACTGTGAACATACACACTGTTTGAAACAACATTGTGCATCCAAGCACCGCACGTACCTAATACCATAAAGCCTTGATGTCCACAAGTGGCACCTTTAGGTCTCTAGAAGCAAAGGGCTTGTGCGACTTAATCGTAAACCTGACGTAATGAATTGCATGGATCATTCTCCATGATAATGCTAGTGTAAATCAGCTCTAATCAGTGTTAAGCCTGAAGTCATAGCATAGATTTCGAAAGCTCTAAGATATCAGCCGTCATATGTAACTAGCATATGTATATGTACGGAGCAACAATCATAATACGGATTGGGAACAAGCCGCATTTTAAAGGGAACACTATATCGCTCTAACACTTAACACAGATCTCGAGCAAGAGGAAAGTACAGAACATTTCTGATGAGTGAATAAAGTAAATATAAAAATTACAAGACAAACAGCATAACGTAAATAGGCTATAGTAAAACGCTCCAGATCACCTTATGTTCTTCGTGTCGAACTGCTTGGCCTGGCGCCATTTACGAAGACATTCCAAGCAGAAACAATGTTTACAATTGGGCAGGATACCGAATCGACGCGCGTACTCGTTCGGCTTGTCCATCACCACTTCCATGCAAATGCCACACTGCATGCCTTTGCTACGCGCCATTGTGAACGCCACTTCCATCTGCTTTTCGTGTTCTTCCAAGCACTCCTGCGCAAACAACAATATAGGTTAAAAATATATCATCGTAGTAGTTAAACTCTGACAGACGAAGGCACACAAGAATTAAGCAACGGTGGCCTCGGTGCACCTGGACGGATTTAAAGCGCAAAGGAAAGCGCATAGCTGCTGTAATGCAGGCGTTCGTTGCGCTTCCACGGTACACCCCACATTTCTTTCATGACAGTGTGATACGAATCTTCATTTTTAAGTTAAAAACCAGGTTTTATACGAGTTTTAAAAGGAATATTATCTAAGGTCGAATATTTTTGACGACGGGGAAATTCTTTTGAAGGTGTTGCTGATAAACTGTGAAAAGCTAGAGGGATTCGTCTGTTGTTTCTTAGCTCGAAGTGGCGCCTTCGATGAAACCCGAGCGAGCAGAAGCACGGATGCAAACGTGCAATATTTCGAATGCGTTGCCAAAGTCAATAAAGATGTTGACTCACGGCAGAGAATTCCTGAGTTCAAAACCGGTCGGGTCACTCGCATTTTGTCATTTAGAGGTAAAGAAACAATTACAACCATTTGTTGTAAAGGAAACAGGAAACTACCCGTTAGCTTTGCCGTAAAGCTGTAGTAAACTGTACGCCGTACGACGTAAACTGCGTCGCCGATGGCACAGGAAAGCAGATTTGCGTCGAATCATAAGTTTCATGAAACGAAGAGTGTCACAAATGTTGTTCATAACAAGAGTGAAATCGAACTCTACAGTTTAACGGATAAAAATCTTCATTTCTTTTTATGGCAAGTCCGACGATCTACTGACAGAGCTAACTAATCACTATATGGAAACAAAATGGTCGAAATCTCAAAAGGATCAAGTACGGCTGCAGAGCTAGCTGTTTATCCTAAACATCAGTAAAGAAAAACGGATTCAATATCGTATGTAATGAATCACTGTTTTGAGTTACAGTCTACCATGACCTTCATGATGGAAAGAGTGGATGTATCTGAAAGCAGCAACCGTCATTTTGGTGAATTCTGAAGGTTCTTAAACATCACCTTGAACCCTTTAGCCCAAAAAGTATTTACTGCGCTATGCTTACCTTAGTTTCTGAATCATTACTTTCACGAACGCTTTTTCACTTCCCCGCCGATGCTGAGTATTTTGAGCTTCATCACCAGGCACAAGTACGAAGTGACCGCACAAGTCGCAGGCGTTTCCATGGACGAACATGCACTCCTCACCATACGGACACTCTCCGTTCATGAAGTACGGACATAAAGTGGCATAGACATCAGTGTCAGTGGACGGTCGCATGTTTTCGCCGGAGCACCCGGCGGCCACCTCAGCGTACGAAGTACCTGCGTTGTCTAAAATAACGCTAGTAGAGATCACTCACACTCAAAACAGCCAGTACTCCAAATATAGTATCAAGGGAGTAAAGCAAGCAATACCTGACAGAAGAGGTTTCTGCAACGCAGAAGGAATGAACTCCTTCGCG